GGAGAACAGGATTGAGACGGAGACCAGGTAGAAATTTTAAAGGTTGTCTTTATTGAAAGCACTTCAAAGTATATCTTTGAGCTTAAGCTGCTTACGGTGAGTAGATGTGGCTCTTTATACAGTATTGCAATAGATACAACAGCTAATTGCATGCAGAGCTTGTTTATACAATATTCTTACAGTTATCTGTCCCTACTATGATAAATAGACATTTTCTTTACAGTGTATTCACTTATTGTATATCTCTAACACAGTTAGCATGACTCACACAGGCATGACAGCATTTGCTGTCATGCGCCACTTTAGTCATCTAAACTACCTTCAGATGCCACCCTCCACATAGTATATCTGAACTTGCAGAAAACATGTAATAACGTGCCACACAAAAAGTTAATTCAAAGATCACATGGGGTTAGGGATAATTTATTTAAGCTGAGAGTAATGATAAATGGGTCTTTCACAAAGTTCAGTCCTCAGGCCCTAACAATTTACAATCTATGTTAATGCCATGGATGCAGAGGTGGAAAGTACTGCAGCCAAATTTGCAGATTATACGAAAATAGGTGGGAAAGTTGCACTGAAGAAATAGAAACTTACAAATATATGTGGATCGGTTAGGTGAATGTGCCAAAATTTGACAAATGAAGTTTAACACAGATAAGCTTGAGGTTATCCATTTTGGTTGGAGGAATAGAAAGGCTGCTTATTATCTAAATAGACAAAAACTTCAGAGTGCTTTGGTGCAGAGGGATTTGGAATCTTCATGCATGAATTGCAGAAAACCAATGTGGAGGTACAGCAGGTAATAAGGAACGCAAATAGATTTTTAGCATTTATTGCTGAAGGACTAGAATATGGAAGTAGGGAAGCATTGTTGCAACTGTACAAGGTATTAGTAAGACAGCATCTGGAGCATGGCATACAATTTTGGTCCCCTTACTTGAAGAGGAAAGTAGTTGCACTGGAGGCAGTTCAGAAGAGGTTCGTGAGATTAATCACAGAGATGAGGGGGTTGTCTTCTTGTCTTCTATGGATTAATTCTGAGATCAGATGTGTCCACAATATGTCCAAAGAATCAAGTCCTGACTCATGAGAATCTTTAGCTATTGAGACTGTAGTGCTATTTGTACCCTAGTCTCATGCTCTGACTGAGTGGATTCATAGATCAGGGCAGTATCCAAATGACATCTAATTCCATCCAGGAACAGTTCAAGAAAAGTAGTTCAAGACAAACTGACAGGTAATGCAGGAGCCTACAGAGTTCCTCCTCACTAATTGGTTTTCCATTCTGGATACCAACTAGAGCGATGGTTCCTTGAAAACATGAAGCAAACGATAAACACCTGGCACCACACACAGGAGGGAAGGAAGAAGAGTAGAATGGTAGTAGGAATAGGGGTTCTTTAATTAGGGAAGCATACAGATGCTTTTGTAGCTTTGGATATGACTCCCTGGTGTTAGGGTCATGGATGTCATAGAACAGCTGCAGGATATTCTTCTGGGCGAGGATGTGATTGTGGTCCATACTAGTACTAATGATATAGATAGTAAGGGAGATGTGGTCCTGCAAACAGAATTTTGAAAGCTTGCTAGAAAATTAACAATCAAAAGTAATAATGTCTGGGCTACTGTCAGTGCCACATGTAAGTGAGAACAGAATTAGCAGGATGAGTCAGATGAATGTACGGCTGGAAAGATAGTACCAGAAGGAGGGATTAAGATTCATAGGATATTGGACCTGGCTCTGGGAGAGATGGCATCTTTACAAGCCTGATGTTTTGCACCTGAACATAGACAAAACTGAGTTCCTTGTTTTGAACTCTGAGGCATTTTATTAATGCAGTTGAGAAAGGTTTAAACCAACTCAGCAGAGCTTTGGAAACAAGGAGACAATATTAAAGAGTAAAACCAAGGTGCACTAGAATAGACAATAGTACATTATGAGGTGGAGTTGGAGTAAAAAGGAGAAAGTAACAAAGTCTCAATTAGAGTTGCATATCTAGAATTATGATTTTGTGGCTGACATAGCTGCACAGAGGCTGGTATCCTGTCACCAAGTCACCCTTTAGTTACACGAGCAGAGTATATGGGCTCTGACCAGCTAGCTCAGTGATAATCCGTAGGGTGAGGAGACTATCTGAGACTCTTTCCAGCCGGGACTCCCTGATTGGTGCTGTTAACCTGGACCAATCAGGGATCTTATACTCAACGAGATCCACCTGGCCGACCTCATTCCAAATCACTACATCCCTTTCCCCTTTAAATCAAGGGATTATAGGCCTGTTCTTTTCCTTGAAGGTTCACCCGGGATGTCTTCGGTCTATTTCTGGCTCCCTCCAACTCTGACTCGGACATAGGCAGTGTGTACCCGACTGTAGCCGACCTCTTGCGCCCAGAGCATCTAAGGAGAAATTCCTCCTTCTCTTCAAGCATTAATGGCATCAAGGCTGCATCCATCTTAGACTCAGATTTTTTCGATGCTAGATGGATGGGAGAACCCCCGGTTTCTGACAGCCTTTCTTGCTACTCTGAGAGGCCAGCTATGTTTTGCTCCTGCCCTGTTTGCAAGGTAGGAGCTTTCACATGATCCACATGTTTGTTTAGGCCCACCTTACCGTCCTAACATACTTTGTATGTCATGGACCTGACATCGCTTCAGCCGCACCTCATACCCTTGCAGGGCCATTTCCATTGTTTCGACACCAAACTTCGTCCTCTGAAGTAAACTCTCCGTCTCTCTCATTTGGAGGAGGCATGTGGCCAGCATTGGGAGTCCTGATGCTGTTTCACCCTCCACCTAGGTCCGGAGATATCCAGTTTAACCTGGTGCAGAATCTTCTCCCCATCAGCAACTCTGCTGGAGCTGTCCCTGTAGTTATATGAGGGGGTTGCTATAATCAAACAGGATCCAGGACAGTTTAATATTGAGTGAAGCTGTAGGATGTTTCTTTAAGACTTCCTTCAATATTTGTAGTGATTGGAATGAGGTCGGCCAGATGGATCTCGTTGAGTATAAGATCCCTGATTGGTCCAGGTTAACAGCACCAAACAGGGAGTCCCGGCTGGAAAGAGGCTCAGATAGTCTCCTCACCCTACGGATTATCACTGACACCAAACCATTGAACAATGGATGGCATGGAGTTGTCTGAACATGCTGAATGCCATTTGACTTTAGGAAATACTCAAAATCCCTGCTGGTGAATGATGCCCAATTGTCCATAACTGATACTTCTAGGAGTTAGAGATAGTAGGAGTTGGTGTTTTGTGAATGACGTGTGCAGCTTTTCACTAATCATTCCCAAGTTTGGTGAATGAACTCTGTGCACATCCAGCCACTTTGAATGGGCACGCACAATGACCAAGAACATTAAGCCCGCAAAGAAACCGGCATAGTCAACGTGTAACCAAGTCCAGGGTTTACCCGGCCATTCCCGTGAATGTGGGAGAGCTGCTGGCTGTACTTCTGGTCCTTATTGGCACTCTGTGCACTGCCCACCAATGTAGCTATGTCGGCAACTAATCTGGCCACCACTCATAAGTTCTTGCCAACATTCCCATTTTGGAAACCCTGGATGACCCTGGCCGAGTTCAGCCAGTATCACACCAAAGATGACAGCCAAACTTTCATTCTCTTTCTGGGCATATTGCGTTCGGTATCAGCCAAAGTCTGGAAATCAAACACTATTGGGTGTTCTTCTTTGCTGAGCCACCGGTGAGCCAACACTACCCCAATACTGTACGAGGAAGCATCGCATGTCATTAGGAAGCATCTTGCTTGGTATCAAAGTGTGCCAACATCTTAGATGCCAATAGCTGTTTTTTCACTTCCCTAAAGGCTACTTCTTGGCTACAAGACCATTTCCAAGGCTAACCCTTTTTCAATAGCAGGTGCAAGGGTGCCAAAATTGAGGCCAGCTTATGTATAAACTTTCCATAATAATTCACCAATCTAAGGAAAGACCTCCACTTTCGTACAGACGTGGGAGCTGGCATCTTCGATCACCCTCACTTTATCTTCCACTTGTCGTCACTGAAATAATTGCTGGTATCCCGTCACCAAGTCACCCCTTATTTACACATGCACAGTACATAGACTCTGACCAGCTAGCTCAGAGCCGGTCCCTAAAGTGACTAGACTCTCTGAATCTCCTGTTTATATCTGTCAGCCAGGGTTTGCTGATTGGCAAAGGTTAACAGCCCCAATCAGGGATCTCATACTCAACGTGATCCATCTGGTCAAATTCGTTTCGATCATTACAATGGCAATAATGGATAACTGGCTCAAGGAAAGGCAAGACTTCATGTTAAATAGTCCAAGTTACATTGTGTTCAGAAAAGATAGGAAACAAGAAGAATAGATGGGTTAAGAAGAGCATTGGAGTGCTGAAAAAAACATGTTCCAGGGAGTTCAGGGACAGAATGGACAGAGCAAAAAGTGTGCAATTAAATTGCTCAGTGTAATCTATAGAAGTAGTAGGACGGATCTAGAGGGACAAATCTTCAAGAAAATTACAGATAGGTGCAAATATCACTGTGTAATTATAATGGGGGACCTTAATTACTGAATGTAGACTGGGATAGTTGTAGTGTAAAGGGCAGTGAGGGGCAAGCATTCCTAGATTGTGTACAGGAGAATTTCCTGTTGTAATATTTGTTCAATCCAACAAGGAAGGAAGCACTTGTTCAACCCAGTTCTTGAGAACGAAGTGGGTCAAGTAGATCAAGTTTCAGTGGGAACATTTAGGGGATAGTGATCATTGTATCGTGGATTCAGGATGTTGGTGGAAAAGGACAACTAACAATCTAAACTAAGGATAATCAAATGGCGGAGACAGACTATCTTTGTAAATTTGTGATCTTTGTGTACTGTACATTATTCCTTTTCTCCTTGCACCAACATTACTCGGAGTTCCTCAGGGTGAATGGAAGCGGACTCTCCCCAGAATCCTTAGCGAACTGAACCCACACTGTCTCCCGCTGTGACTGGCAGTTGTGCGCAGATGCCAGAAGATTGAGGAAGGCAGTGCAAGATGGCGGTGGACTGGATTGGTTTTGGATATGCGGCTTTGGTGGCTTCAGGAGGTCTGGTCGGTTATGTTAAAGCGGGTAAGAGCTAATGACCAAATGTGTAACAGGGCTTGGCCCTGTAATGATATCGATGCATTTTTATGAAGTCGCTATGTTTGAGAATTTCTCGGGGTTTTTCCTCTCCTCCCACATTATGATGTTTCCCTGAGTGAGATGTTAGCAGAAGAGATTGGCAAGAAATATTTCATGTAAATGTAAAACAAATAACGTGCAACGATCGGTAAAAGGTTGGATCTGTTAAGGACTTGAAGGGAATTCATGTGGAGACAGAGAGCATAGATTAAATATTAATATGTTTCAATGTTTTCAGAAAGGAGGGGGGTCAATGATGCGAGCGCGGAGATCGAAATAACAGAGGTATCGTCCGAACTCACCAAATACAGGAATAAAGCCAGAAGAGTGGTGATTGTATCCTCACTGACTTTCATGAATAATGGCAGTTTGTTTTGCGGCGCTGGGGTAATGTTCCTACCTCGAAGCAAGAGAGTCTGGTTCAAATCCCATTTGACCTGGAGGCGTGTCATGATGTATCGGAACAAGTTGATTAAAATAACAAAACCCGGAAGTTGTAAGTAGTCAGGCTTAACTCCATTAGTGACAGTAAAGTTGTCCGAATTAGTGATAAACACCATGCGGTATAGGCCAGTCAGACCATCCAGTCTGCTCCGTCATTCACTGAGATCATGGTTGATCTGATAATCCTCAGTTCCACTTTCCTGCCTTTTCGCCATAACCCTTGATTTCCTTGCGATTAAAAATCTATCTGTCTTGGCCTTGAATAAACTTAACGATCCAGCTTCAGAGCCCTTCGTGGTAAAGAATTCCCAGATTCACTGTCCTCTGAGAGAAGAAATTCCTATTAGTCGTTGAACCATTCAACGTGGAAACAGTCCCTTTGGGACATAGTCCCAATTGCCAGCATTTCACTCATATCCCCCTAAACCCTTCCTATTCATATATCCATCCAGATATATTTTACATGTTGTAATTGTATATGCCTCCACCACTTCCTTTGGTAGCTCATTTCCATTCATGCACCACATCTGTGTGAAAATGTTACCCCTCAGGTCATTTTTAAATGTTTCCCCTCTCGACTTAAAACTATGCTATCTAGTTTTAGATGCACCCACCCTAGGGAAAAGACCTTGGCTGTTCACCCTATCCTTGTCCTCATGATTTTACGAAACTCTATAAAGTCACCCCTTAGCCTCTGACACTCAAGGGGGGAAAAAAGGTCCCAGACTATTCAGCCTCTCCCTATAACTCAAACCCTGCAGACCCGGTAACATCCTTGTAAACCTTTTCTGCACCCTTTCAAGTTTAACAACATCCTTCCTATCATCCATTTTAAATGTGCAAACCAATCCCAATTAGATCTTTCCTGAGATAAAGGACCCAAAACTATACAAGGCTCTAGTCAGACTCTTCACAGTCTGACTAGAGCCTTGTATAGTTTTGTCAATGATGTGTAGGTGCTGTTGTTGGACTGGGGTGGACAAGGTCAGAAATGACACAACACCAGGTTCAACAGGCTTGTGTTGTCAAGTAAACCTGTTGGACTATAACCTGGTGTCATGTGATTTCTGACCTGGTTTTAGCAAAACCTTCCTCCTTTTCTATTTCATTTGCCTTCCCTATTACCCATTCAACTTGGATCCTAGCTTTATGTGCACAAGAACTCCCAAATCCTTTTGTTCTGTAGCTTTCTGCAGTCTTTCTGAATTTACGTAATATTCATAGAATCACTATTGTATGGAAGCACGCCATTCAGCCCATCAAGTCCACGCTGTCCCTCAGAAGAGCATCCCACCCAGACACGCTACTAACCCCATCCCTTGTAACCTTGCATTTCCCATGGCTAACCCACCTAGCCTGCACATCCCTGCACAGTATGGGCAATTTAGCATGGTCAATTCACTGAATCTGACTGTGGGAGGTAACCCATTGCAGACACGGGAGAACGTACAGTCATCCAAGGGTGGAATTGAACCCAAGTCACTGCTGTGAGGCAGCAGTGCTAACCACTGAGCCATCATGTCGCCCCTAAATAAATGCTGACACAGAAAGGTATTGCTCCTCTAGATATTCAGCTCCACCATTCTTCCTGCTAAACTGCATAACCTCAGATTTTCCCTCGTTATATTCCATCAGCAAAGATTTTGCCCACTCTCTTAACCCATCTATATCCTTCTGCAGACTCAGTGTGTCATCCTCACTGCTTGCCTTTCCATTTGTTATTATCTGTAAACTTGCTGAAAGTATATTCACTTTCTTCATTTAAGTAATTGATTATAAAGGCACTTCGGAGGGCCAAGCACAGATATGAGGTCAACTGGCCTTCTGTGTTGTAATAATTCTGTGAAGATGATGGTTGTTTTGAAGCCCTATGCTTTCCTCTGTGATCTGCTGTTTCATGTCTCAATATTAGATATAATAGTGATTTCTTTCTGATTGTATTTCTTATGTATTGGTTAAGACAGTTTATTTTGAGATAGTTGAAGTCTTCCATGATTATTTTTCAATATTTTCAAAATTGTTATGGAAAAGAACAAGAATAGGCTGAAATGAAAGTTCTCTATTGGAGGAAGGCTGACTTTAATAAGATCAGATATGATTTGGCCAAGGTGGACTGGGAGTGGATACTTTCAAGTACATCTGTCTCAAAACAGTGGGATGTAGCCAAGAAAGTAATATAGAGAATACAAGGCCAACATGTTCCAATACAGAAAAAGGCTCAGACCATCAAATCCTGTGAACCCTGACCACTAAGGGACATACAGCATTAGATTACAAGATAAAGGGAGACTTATGACAGATACCAAGGACTCAAAACAGGAGAAGCCATAGAGGAGTATGGGATTTGCAAGTAAAAGACTTAAATAGAAGATTATGAGAGCTAAAAGGTCACATGAAAGGATACCGGCAGGTAAAATAAAGGAAAATCCTTTGATGTTTTGCAGGTGCATTAAGGGTAAAAAGGTAATGAGAGAAAGAGTAGAGCATATTAAGGACTACAGTGGTAATCTGTGCATTGAGCCAAGGGATGTAGGTAGGACCCAAAACAAATACTGTGTCATTGTTCAGTAGCAGCGAGAGAGAGAGATGACATGATATAGAAATCAGGGAGGCAGTCTGTAATACAGTTAAAGAAATTAGTAGACACTGCGACGACGTTCTGAGTGATCTGGCAGGCTTAAAAGTCGATAAATTTCCAGAGTGGGATGAAATTTATCTAAGGGGTGGAATGAAATGTATCCCAGTGGGTGCTTGCAAAAATGTTTAATTTGTCTCTGGCCACAGGTGAGGTATGGAGGACAGCTATTGTGATACCATTATTTAAGATGGAAGCAAGGGATAAACCGGGAAACTAGAAGCTAGTCAGTCTAACCTCAGTGGTGACGAAACTATTGGAAGCAATTCTAAGGGATTGAATTAATCTGTGTTTGGGGAGGCAGCAATTAATGAAGAACAGTCAGCATGGCTTTGTTAAAAGGAAGTCATGTCTGACAAACTTGATTGAATTTTTTCAAAGCAGAAACCAGGTGCGTAGATGGGGGCAGTCCTTTTGATGTAGTCTACTTTGACTGCTTTGACTTTAGCAAGGCTTTTGATAAGGTCCCAAATAGGAGACTGATTGCAGAGGTAAGAACCCATGGGATCCAAGGAAATTGGCCAAATTGGATCACCAAGTAGCTGAATGGCAGGAAACAGAAGGTAATGGTTCCAGGGTGTTTCTCCAACTGGAAGTCTGTGAACATTGGGTGCTACAGGGATCATTGTTGGGCCCCTTGCTGTTTGTGGTTTATATAAATGATTTAGACTTGAATATAGGAGGGCTGATCAGTAGAGGAGGCAATGGCCTAGTTGTATTATCACTGGACTATTAATCCAGAGACCCAGATAACATCCTGGGAACCTGGGTTCGAATCCCGCCAGATGGTGGAATTTGAATTCAACAAATATCTGGAGTTAAGAATCTAATGATAACCCTGAATCCTTTGCCAATTGTTGGAAAAACCCATCTGATTCACTAATGTCCTTCAGGGAAGGAAATCTGCCATCCTCACCTGGTCTGGCCTGCATGTGATTCCAGACCCATAGCAATGTGGTTGGCTCTTAACTGCTCTCTGGGCAACTAGGGATGGGCAATAAATTCTGCCTAGTCCGCGATGCCCTCATCCCATGAATGAATAAAGAGGAAAAAAAATGTAAGTTGACATGATGCAAAAATTGGGGCATGGTAAATAGTGAGGAGAATAGCCTGATCCTACAAGAGGATAAGTATATTTTATGGATAAGAGTAGCCCTCGGGTACTAAATTGGGGGAAGGCTAATTATGACATTATTAGGTAGAACTGGTAAATGTAGATTGGAAGTGGCTGTTTGAGGGTAAATCTACATCTGAGAAGTGGGAATCCTTTAAAGGCTAGCTCAGGACCAGCATAGTCCTGTGAAAATGAAGGATAAGGATGGCAAGATTCAGGAATCTTAAATGACGATAAATTGTGAGATTAGTTAAAAAGAAAAAGGAGACATGCATAAGGTTTCAAAAACTGAAGACAAGACAGATCCCTTGAAGAATATAAAGAAAGAAATTAAGCAAAAAATTAGGCTAAAAAAGGCCAAGAAATTTCCTTTGCAAACAAGATTAAGGAAAATGCCAAGGCCCTTTATATGTTTATAAGGAGCAAGAGAGTGGTTAGGGGACGGACAAAAGGGTGTGTTTATGCATAGAGCTGGAGGACGTGGGTGAGGTCCTGAACAAATACTTTGCATCAGTATTCACAGAGGAGAAGGACATGATGGATGGAGAGTCTGGACAGGAGTTGTTGATATTCTAGGTCATGCCAATACAAAAAGGAGATAGAGTTGGATGTTTAGACAAGTCCCCAGGACCTGATGAGATCGATCCCAGAATGCCGAGGGACGCAGATGAGGAAATTACTGGAGCCTTGTGTGAAATCTTTGTCTACACTTTAGTGTCAGGAGGAATCCCAGAGGAATAGACAGTAGCCAACATTATTCCTGTTGCCCTTCTTAAACAAAGGAACAATCTGGGAAATTACAAGCCAGTGAGTCTACACTAGTGGTAGCATGGGTTTGTGCAGGGAAGATCGTGTCTCACAAACTTTATTGAGTTTTTGAGGAAGTTTCAAAGATGATTGACGAGGACAGTGTAGTAGTTGTTATCTATGTGGACTTGAGCAAGCCTTTGACCAGGTTTCTCATGGCAGGCTGATTCAGAGGGTGAAGTCACATAGGATCTACGGTGAGATGGTAAAATGAATACAGAACTGGCTTGGTCATAGAAGACAGAAAATAGCAGTGTTTTTTCTGACTGGAGATCTGTGATCAGTGGTGTTCCACAGGGATCAGTGCTGGGACCCCTCTTTTTCTTATAATATATAAATGATTTTGAGGAGATTGTAGGTAGTCTGATTAGTAAATTTGTGGATGACGCAGATTGGGAAGCTGCAGATCGTAAGCAGGATTGTTGGTGGTTACACTGGGATTTAGATATGCTGGAGACTTGAACGAAGAAATGGCAGACAGAATTTAATCCGGACA